TTGTCTTTTCTTCATTCTTCCAGCTGCTTAGTTCCTTTTTGCCCAATAGTGTTCATGTTTTGTCTCAAACTCCAAATACCTGAAACTCAAGGTTTTTCATCAATTATTGAGAAAAAATATGCATTTGAGGAAACTAAATTTATCAATGTATAGCCCTAAATGAGTCCAACTTGTGGACTCATCATATATGAACACTACTACAAATATGAACTTTAGCAACAATTATTTTGCGGCAATAAGCAAATGGCTGGTAATGTATTCATGAGAGGCAATATATTAGCGGCTAATGTATAATGGCCAGGAAAAAGTACACTTTTAGTAGAAATTCCAAACAATAGCCGCCAAAAAGGCCTTTTTTCTAAAATTAAAAACTCCTACATGAGAGGCTATCTATTAGCGGCTAATGTATAATGGCCGGGAAAAAGTACACTTTTAGTAAAAATTCCAAACAATAGTTGCCAAAAAGCCTTTTTTTTCTAAAATTAAAAACTCCTACTTTCTCTAAATTATTTATTTTCCCACCATTCTCCAAAATCTGGAAAAAAAAAAGAACTCCTAGGCAATAAGGAAAACATTACTTAGAAAAAAACCCTATGTACGCTTCAAATAAGGAAAAATTTCCTAAAACGATCTCCCACACACATAAGAATTATGTATCCTAAATCTCTTAGAGTTGTGACGTGCAACACCATATATTCATTCATAGCAGCAACCTTCCGACAGCATATATCAACTTACAGCAGCGACGTCCAGCAGTTATAGATTACTCGCAGGAAATACGTCTAGGAAAAACAAAGTTTTCAGATTTGTAGGTCACTCATCTCCACTCCTCTTTTTTTATCGTATTCTATTACCCTTGTTGCTCGGTACATCTTCGTTATGAATTTATCCCCATTATTTATTTTCTATTATGTTCATTAATGAGTATTCACACATTAACTAAGAAGAAAACAGAAAATATACTTGACGAACTAATCAATATTTAGGTATTAGCTGTGATTTCTAAGTGATTTGAAATTCGTAAAAGTAATGTTTTTGCGTTTGTGATCTCTGGCTGCTACTATTTTGATTGCAATTGATTAAATCAATTCATCTGATAATATACTTTAAGGTGTGTGGCTATTATATTAAGGTGTGTGGTTGTTAATATATTAAGGCGGGTGGCTTTTAGTTCATCTGTAACTTATAATCATTCGAAAGTTCTATTGTGAATACAAGAAATAGTACAAAGAAATAATTGTTTTGTTTTGACTCGACTTAAGATCTTTTTTTTGAAAATTTCAAGCTTAGCGATTACATAGATTCACTATTGTTTAGATTCATGTTTGTACAAAAAATTTTGTTTTGACTATATGAGCTCTCTGTTATTGAGATTATCTGTAACTAGAAGCATTTTTTAAACCTTTTGGTCTAATTTGTGGTAGGTTTAGCATTTGTCCTTGAATCTTTTATTTAATACTCTTGTTATTCATTTAATTTTCTGTTTTAGACGTTTATTAGAATATCTATTTTTTGGCCATAAAATATGAAACATTACCATACAATGAATAAAATAGTACACTTGAGGCATCTATGATCTGGTTATGATTAACAAGCACAAAGTTAGTAGACCTCCAGCATCATCTATTTATAGATTGTATCCCCTCGAAGGAAGGGGGGATCTTTAAATGAACAAACATGTAGTTTCGTAACACAAGATACACAAGTATCTGAATCTCAATACATCACGAAACAAATTAAAAAGCTATCGAAGTAAAAAAACTCGACTAGAGCACCTATTGATATAATGTTTGTATTTTGGGACATTAGGATCTTCATAACTGTTAGCCAGGCTAAAAATGTGCTACACAACATCAGAAACACCATAGGTCATGGTTGCTACAAGATTCGTTTAGCTTTGTTTTCACTAGCTTGAGTCGTTTCTTATGTCTACTCCATTATTTCTGAATCCTTCTTTTTTGTAGCCTAATCTGCTCCATTGGCCTTCGCCTTAGTAGCCTGATTGGCTCTAGTTGTCTTCATTGAGTTGTCTAATCTGCTCAAGCTGCCTTATCCTTCGTAGCTTGACCTTCTCTACTCATATTATCCTTGGTTGTCTGGGCTGCTTCACTTATCTTATTGTGCGCTATTTTTTAGCTGAATGAACCATCACGAATGCCATATTTATTTTTGCTTGGGCCTTGTCTTTCATTCATTCCATTGTTTGACTAAACATTGACTATCCCCCACCAGGTGTTGTGACATCTTACCCAAAATAATTCTCTTTCAAACTTGAGGAGAACTGAATCCAGATGAAGCTGATGATTAAGTTGGTCGATAATCCTTAATTGTTGACATAAGATATATTCAAAGTGTCTCTTTTGTGACTTTCATTGTTTTGATTATAGTAGATTGAACCTCATACCACACATTAAAACAATCACAATAGAATCCACAAACAAGCTGTCAAAATGGAATTATGGTAAAAACCTATATAAGTACTTCATTATGCGTTTTTCAGTATGCCTTTAGTGTTTGGACCTGTAGCTTATTGAGTTATTGTTGATCAGCCCCAAACCCAGTATTAGAAATACCCATTTAATCTGCTTCCCTTTCTCTTATCGTCTGAAATCAAATTATTGGAATTTGTGGTTTCATAATTTTTTTAGTTTCTGATGGGAGTTCCTCAAAGTTAATGTATTGAATAGTACCTGCACAAACAAAAACTCTATTAGTTAAAAAATTGGCAAGGTGGTTCCTTTCTCTTAGAACATGTGATACTTGAAAATCACCCTTTGTCTTCTAGTCTTTGATCTTCTGAACCTCCATACTTCTCCATAACAAAATCTCATTGATAAAGTTTCGACCTTACTGAACAAAGAGAAAATCTCCATAACAGAGTTATAGTTGCACAAATTTTACAGAGAACCAGCGTAAAGATTGTTCAGTACAAATTTGCTCCCTTAAAGAGAATTATCTTAGCTAACAATAGAGGGTGATTGATAAGATTACATGATACGTGTTAGATGAGTGTAATGAACTATTGATCATGTATGTAGTCCCCAATTACGGTTGTAGTTGAGTAGATGCCAAATCTTTTTTTTTTGCAGAAGCTGATGCTTTATGTTTCTAATGGTAGGAATTTCACTTATAACTCAAATTGATCGTCTGATACTCTCATAGTTAAATCCCAAGCTTGTTTCCAGGGAATTAAGGACTTGACTTTTTTCTATTGTAGCATTCTCTGTTCTATTTATCTTTATGGCAGTATTTCCTAGAGAGTTTGATCATTAAAGCCTATGGAGTTTCTAGTATATTTTTCAATAGTACCATGATAATAGAGCTGGACACATTGTTTCTCTATGATATTTCATGCAAGAGAGTTCAACTTTTGCATAAAAATAGGGAAGTGGAAATTAGCACATTTCTTTCACTCTTCATCATTCACCTTCTTCCACTCTTTGATCTTCTGAACCTCCATACCTCTCTAATCAGTGCTTCACCTTTATACCTTTGTACTCTATGAGCATTGAGCAAAAAATGTCATAAACTTGTTTCTCTGTTTCCAAATGGAAAAATTAAATTATATAAAGTTCTAAGCAGCAACTAGTTAGGAATTAAGAGATAACATTTCTTAATTTCATGGATCCACTGGAAATTAACCAAAATACATTTCATGTATCCATTGGAAAGATCCCAAAAAGAAGCAAAAATAAATTTCTCTTGTGCTTAAAAGCATTGCAAAAGTTTCAGCTCTAGCAGACAAACAGATAGACAATCACTTACAAACATAGCAGGTAAATGCAACTAATAAAAGTTAATATTGAAAATGTAACACCAATCTAAGTAACAATCTATTTGTGATTCAACGGAATATTGAAACGAAACATATTAACATAGCCATAAAAATCCTCGTCCCAATAGTTATTATTACTATAAAGCTGGAAAGAATTAGACTCCATCCTCTTGAAGCAGAAACAAATAGCAAATGATGTAAAGGCAAAGATAAAAATTCCAAACGTCCCATAAATAAATAGTGCATCAAAAACTCAATTTTTGCATCACCCATTATGTCTTGAAGGAAAATCCGAGTAACTCATCATGTGATTTTTAATTAAAGTCAAAGAACAAAAAACATCTTTGGACACAATTTCAGAAATACATCACCAAGTTGAACATGAAACAAATGTAAGAACTCAATAAATAGTGCATCAGAAAGGAAAATGCAAAGGCAAAGGTTAAAAATTTCAAACATTCCATACATAAATAGTACATCAGAAACTCGGTTTTTGCATCACCCATGATGTCTAGAAGTCCCGATATTTATATCTAGCTAGCTTTGTTCGATGATGATCCTTTCTTCATTCTGTGTTAAATTTTGTAATGCCAATAGGTCAAGTAATCTTAAATGTATTAGATTTATTTTTATGAGGGTACCTCAATATTGTCAACACCGTGGAAACTTAATACACACAAATTCACAAATACATGAAATTTGGTAACATGCTTCAAGAAACATTATCTGCTAGAAACAGGGTGCCTAAAGATCTTGCTTATTCATTAACAAATGAAGGTATTGATTATCTTTGGACTTCATTGGAAGATACCAAACATGTTGACGGTCATCTCATGTATTGCACCCTATGTACTAATAGGATGGATATTTTATCTGAAATACATTTTTGATTAATTTTCTCTTTTTTTTACTAACGTATTTCAGCTTCTACAATAATTGCAGAAAATAAAATCATATCTTGAACGCCATGAACAATTATAGAAATAAAATATTGATGTGAAACTATATATTGACTTTTATTTTACAGAAGAAGTTTTCTTTTCCAAAACGTGGAGAAGCGTTTGTCTTAAAGTCACTAGGAAAGAAATGGAAAGACTACAAGTGTGAAATTAAAGGTGAGTATATGTAAAATATAAGACTAAAAACTCTTTGCAGAAAAATAGATCAAATCGCATACTGAGAGATCAATGGAGTGGTCTAGTCTCTTATTGTCTTTCTGATAAAGCAAAGGTATAAACAAATTTTGAAAACACACCTACTTTCTTATTTTAACTATGTGGTGATTTTAGTTATGCTACATTTTTTTTATAATTTGTAAGATATTATTTAAATATTTCAACAACAGAACCGTACCCAAGCAAATAGAAACAATAGGGTCAATCAAAAGATACCTCACACAGGAGGATCCAAAAGTATAACGACATTGATGCATGAGCAAGTAAATCTGTGAAACATATTTTTAAAGATTTTTTGTCATGCATATCTGATATCAATTCTATTGCTTAGGATGAAAATGGAATAGAGCCTACACGAGCAGAAATTTTCTTATAAACTGATAAAAAATGGTAGACCACTAAATGATGATTTTGCCAAGGCAATCGTAAGATTTCTTGTTAATGTTATTTTTAAATCATGAAACAATTAAAAATAAATATTACAAGTGAATAAGCCAATTTCAAAATGGATTTATTGTGTATTCTATTATTAGGACATGATAAATGAAAGGATGAGCAATAATGAAAGATCTATCGACCAACCTCCTCACAATATTGCTTGGGAAGGTGATGTGTATTCTCAAGTGTTGGGAAATGAGAAGGGTGGGTATGTTCGTGGTTTAGGACTTGGTACAACTCCTTCAATTCTATGGGGTAGTAAATCTTTCGTAGAAATATTGTTGTAGAATATTCATCTAATGAGATTGTACAAAGGTTAGAACAAGAAATAACTGAGTTAAAGGAAAAACAAAATGAAGAAATGGATCTGATGAAACAAAATCACAAGAAGCTGCAATCAGAATTACTCCAAATGAGACAATTCATGCAAAAATATGCTCCTAATGAACCCTTCCTCAAGATATCAATAGCACTTCAAATGAACAGGTAACTAAATTTTACATGTCTTAGGAATTTTTAATGAAAATTTTTTATCCTATAAAAGGATTGTTAACTAATGTCTTAATACTTACAGTTCCTGATAATAATAGCAGCAAGAAGGAGTACCACAATCATCAAGGATATCTAGTAATGCTGAAATTACTCTACCTCATGGTACTACTCATCTTTATCATTTAACGTTATTCTTTAAGTTTTCATTACTAGTCTTTCTTGTCTTTGTTTTTAATAGATATGTCCGCCAATAGAACTCGCAATTTTTTGTAGTAGTAGTAGTAGTTCTTCTACAAGTATAGACTATCTTTCTGGTTCCATTTGTCTTATCGTCTAAAATCGAATGCTTGGAATTTGTTATTTATCAGTGGTCAGGATCTTTTTAGCGTTAGATGGGAGTTTCGGAGAGTTATTGTATTGAATAGTACCTGCACAATCAAAACCTCTGTTAGTTAAAGTTCCCTTCTCTTAGAACATGTGACACTTGGACACAATAGCTAGGTTTGTATATTTCCAACTTTTGTATGATGAGTGGTCAAGTGTTAGAGATCTCATTTATCCAACTTTTGAGGCAACTTTTCTCTGTTTGTCTTGGAACAAAGAATGATATGAGTTGTTGTATGTGAAATGGTGAAATGCTATTCTAAATCAGTTTCTTGGCTTCGATGTGACCTAATCTTGTTCTAAAAGCTAGTTCAATCTCTGTTTTGTTTTGCTCGAGTTTATTTGATGTTCGTTTGGTTTAGATTTTGAATGCACTAGATGTACATTTATGTTTCTTCATTGTTCACTCGTAGTCTTGGCTATCTTCTCTTTCGCTCTTGATTCATTATTATAGACTTTACTTGTCTTAGTTTAATCTCATAGAATTCCTCTCTGTTCTAGCATAACTTTAGTGTTGTCCATATCTTTTGTATTTCAACGGGTGATGTTACGTTTGTAATTCGTCATAATCTTGTTTTAACTTGGCTCTATTTATTGTTAGCTTATCTGTAAATACATGTATAGTCCTTTACATGGTAGAACTATTTTTTCTTCAAAATGTGACTGGGAATCTGATTGTCTTCTTTTCTTTCTAAGTGTTGCTTTATTTATTTTGGTGTTTTCCATTAATCAAAATCTGAAAACTTCTTCATTCTCTAAAAAATATGTGGTCTTCTTTCCTTTGTTTTTTTTTCAGTCTGAGTCTTAGTATTTATACCTGAGCTTTTTAATATAATATCCTATTTTTTAAGATATGGTTAAGTACCAGTCTCTTGTATTGTTGCCTATCCTCAGCCTAAGTTTTTTCTTTGTCCTGCTCATCCTCTTTTGGTTGTTCAATGGGCTGATCATGTGACATTAGATCAATAAAATTGTTATGGGAAGGGTTCTTATTCATATCTGTCTTTTGGTTGTTCAATGGGCTGATCATGTGACATTAGATCAATAAAATTGTTATGGGAAGGGTTCTTATTCATATCTGTCTGGACTTGAGTTTCTTTGTGAAGTCCTTTGTTGTGTTGACATGAAGTTGCAATCTTTCCTCCATCAATACTCTGATCTGCCGCTACTTGATTTTTGACTTGCTTTGTTTTTGGTACTTGCCATTATTCTTCATGTTGTGTGTTTTCTGCCTCTTGGGTGTGAGGCAGAGCTTCAGTACTCTTTTGTTTTCCTATCCCTTGAGTTCCAGTCTGCTCTTTTTTCTCCTGAGCATTTTTGTTTTTACTCATGATCATCTCCACCTTAGGCATAGTATTGCTGAATTTTCCCACGAAAGTATACTTACATCTAGTTGCTAACTTGACCATAAAATCCTCTCTTTTGAATATCACAGAATTCGGTTGCGACAACTCCACATTATTTATATGGCATTATACTCACTTTACCTAAAAATTGCAGATGGTGGTCCTTCTGTGCAGTACTTTACTGAAATCTCTCTAGCATGTGTCAGGTGACAAAATTGATAAATAAATATGCTGCTTTATCTCATATTGGAATATTCTTTTCAAAGACAGGGGAAGTTTTTTTTTATTAAGTATGTGTATTTCGCGAGAAAATTTATTAAAAGAAATTATTTGCATGCTTTAAGTGAAAACAATCTTTATTTGTACAATTTGAATATCACTCCTAATGAAAAGTCTTCAAAGCATGTTGACATGTTGTATACTGTTTTTTTCAGTTTGAAAATATTGTTTTATCTTTTAACTAAAGAAATCCAATTGTTATCATGTTCTCCATTACTGCTCTAGTTAGTTTCTCTTCAATAATCAAGATGACAATAATTGTTCTGTTGGTTTGTTATCTTGCCATTGATGTGACATCCTCTATGTCCAACTTTTTTTTCTTTTCTTCATGAAAAATCTGATCTTAACTTCAAACTTCTAACTATCAAGTGAAAATGTGTCGAGCAAGTTCACAGAGATTGTACTATGCTTTTAACCAAATTTATATGTGGCAAGCGAGGTAGACATTTCTTAGTAGTGATTTTAGGGTAGCCAAATTTATAGGTGTTTTATCCTCTAAAAAGTAATTCACTTTTTCAATTTGGTTGTCTCTTTGATTTGATGGCACAAAATGAAAATGGATGCTTCTTACTTGTAATTTTTCAGATTAGTCACACTACTTGCAATATTTTTATACTTTGGATTTCATCTATTGACACATTTCATTTTTATTTCAGGTTATACAATCTGAAGTTCTCAAATTTTATATATTGGTGATTTCAAAGACATTATTCGAAGAAGAGTAACAAAACTTATTTGAAGACATTAATCAATAGTTTGAACAATATACGTTTATTTTTGAAAGTTGTTATTGTCGTATTTTGGATTAGTACTTCTTTTTGTTTGTCTAGATTTAAAGAGATATATTATATTATATGGATCAATAGTAATATATATGTTTTCACCATTAGCGAAAATTGTTGTTACTATGAGGCTCTCATTTGCGAACATGTTTGTTGGATTTTTATATATACATTTTATCTATAATGTAGTAGATATTATTAATGGCGGCTAAACAATTGCCGTTAAACATTAATATTTAGCGGCAATTCAGTGGAAATTATTAGCCATAAAATGGACGTTAAAGGGGAAAACAAAGATATTTTTAGAAGAGATATTGTAGCCATTACTCACCATTGTAAAATTGTCGTTAAAACTACTACCTTTTAGCAACTATTTATTTTGATTTATCAACTAAAACAATGAACGCTAAAGGACCA